CTTCCCTTTAGAATATTAGTTATGTGGTTGCTTTTTCTTGTTTTTAGGTTTTACTCTTAGGTCATGTGAGTTCCCTCCTTGATTAAGTATTGCTTTCTCCCCACACACCTGCAGCTCATCCGCCTCCCATTATGCCCCAGTGTATTTAAGCCCTGTCTTGTCTCAGTGTCTTGTCGGAAGGTATTTAATAGAATTTAGGTTTTTTTTTTCTCTCCTCGCTCTGACTCACACTCCTGCACATTAGGTGGCGGTAATGCACCTTAAGTTGGTTGCCACCCGCCATTTAAACGGACATGAAGAAGAAGAAGAAGAAGTGTCTTGTCGGTCCATTGTTGTTTGTCAGCGTTGTTTTTGGTGCTCTGTGTGAGCTTTGTGTCTTGTCTCAGCTTTTGTGCTCCATGTGAGCTTTCGATGTCCTGGATCTCAGGGCTTTTGGATTTACTTTTGTTCATCCTGCAATAAAAGGATTTTTACTTTATATCTACTCCTGCCTCTTGTCGTCTGGGTAATCTGCATTTTGGGTCCTAACCATCCCCGCAACGTGACAATAATATTATCTTATCTTTCTGCCATAAACCTTAACGTAACACACCTAAGTAACTGTTTTGATTTTGCATGCTAGCTGTTAAACAGCTACCAGGGAATCCAAACATAATAGTGCAAAAACTGGAGAACATTAAGTTTCCTCCCATGCATGAATAAAACTGCTTAGTATTTCCTGACCTGTTGGAGTGGAAGGAGGCCGTAAACACTGAAATTGAAAGCTTCTGTTGAAGTCTCGGTTTCTCAGCTGTTTCTCCTAGTTCATCAAAGAAAACTGCAAGTCTGCCTCTCTGTGCATAATTAAATTACAGCATTAAGGCTGAGAAATAAGAATCAGCGGGCATGTTCCCTTGGTTATCTTGAAGATAAACCAGAACAAGAGTTGGTACTTTACTTGAAATTGGCAATAAACAGCAACATAAGCAGGACCAGAAAACAAAGGGAATTCCTGACTTCCTTTCCCGGAAGGATACGCACAAAGGCTTCTGTATCTGTGTGCCGCGAAGCCTGAACTTTCACAGAAGATAAAAACAATCAGCCTGAAACGTGGAGCCACTATTCATGACCTAAAAGTGCAGCTAGTTTCAGACTGAGGAAGCAATGACATTAGATGGGTTACGACAGACTGTTGCAAGCAAAGTCTAGAAGAGGAGAGGCTTAGCGAGGAAACCAAAAGCCAGTCGGAGCTGGTCCAAGTTCATGGATGCCAAGTGACCTTTAGTGTCTGAAAAGGGTCGGGAGGCATGTCAGGGAGCAATTTTGTCACTAAAACACAAGCAACACTGTTTGTAACTCTACATAAATGTGAGCTCAAACAAATCAGACAGACAGAAAGAGCTGCTTTAATTAACAAACAGCTGACTGCAGCATATTTAGCTATGAGCATGGTGTCATGGTTCAAATCACGCTTTGGCAGCTTTTCATGGAAGCTGTCTTTTGGCAAAATCCAGATATCCTACATCCAACTGCAGAAAAAGCACTCTTGACTTAGTGAGAGAGGGAGCTGAGGGCAGTTTCAGGTGGTCTCTGATCAGTCAGGTGTAACTCAAACCCACTGAAACCTGCCTGATATATGTGAAAGGTTTGTTGTGTAAGAGGATCCTCAGTGATGACCTTATTACTCAGACCAGCGTGTCACTATCAGTGTTTAAATGTTAAGAGATATAGACATTTACTTCAAGTTCCTATCATCTAATAACTGATGAGTTTTTACAGCAAATATAAATGTTTTTCTAACAAAATTATTCAGAAATAATCAGCAAGTGTGGGAAGATGTTTAGCAAAAAAAAAAGCACCATTCTCTGTAAATGTACAAAAGCTTGTGCAGTGTGGAGCTACGCAAAGACATATCGAGTCAGCCATGTGGGTTTTGGCACAGCTGTAAACATCTGCTGGTGACACCGATCTCTGAAAATCGGAACCTTTCCAGGATCAACCCACATCTGTCTTCTCTAAACCACCATCGATCCAGTTTCAACCTCTGTGCTACAATAAAAGTCTTGTTAATCTCTGCAGCATGCTAAAGCTCATATGCTTTTATTTCTGACTTATGTCTTATCAAGTAGTTTCAAAGTCTTATGGTTAAGTTGAATGTCCTGAATCTATTCTCAGGTTTTGTTTTCAAGCAAGTTTTTCTTTTAAGGGACATTATGGAAGTTTGACAGCCAAAACAATAAATGTCTTCTTCATACATTCTCCTGCAATGCCCTGGTCCTGTAGAATGAGCCCTGGCATTTTTACTGTGATTGCTTGTTTTTCTGTAAAATCACAGAAAAAGAGAGCTGCTCGGGTCAAGCTGGCTGCTTCATGCGCGTTCACGCTCAGGCATAGCCCGTAGCATTTGCTATCAGTAGCTTTAGCAGAAGAGTGAGACAGTGCCACTTTGTCGCTGTTCCTAACGCCTAGTGACAAAGCTAGCTACATTTCTGAGGACCCTTAGCTACTTTCTGTAGAACTTTCTTCTAGATAGTTCCTGCAAATTAGCAACAAAATAGCCATTTTCCCTTCGAACCGTTCTTTGAACGTTTCAGCTGTCTTTAAGGATATAAATGCTACAGATACAAAGAACCTCACTGGTGCTTTAGCTCACCTGGTAAGACGGACTCTCATGCATGAGACCTGGGTTTGAGTCTGGATGTGAACATAGTTTATTTAGAGTTTCTTTTTTACATTAATGGTATATTTTTTTACAGTAAGATGCCAAAATGTTTATTCGAGACTCGCCGAACGGCATTGAATTCACAGATAAAAAAAGATGTGGGTTCTACTTTCATTTTGGAACAATTTTTCAAGCAAGGGAAGGGAATGATCTGAGCATGCAGGAGGACTGACCCATCTTAAACCTTTGTCAGCTGTGCTGAAGAGAAAGGTACAGAACCAAATTATTTAATTAATTAGCTGCGCATTCTCCTGTCCTCTGTCCTCCATGCGCGCCTCGTGCACGAGCCTACTATTGAAGCTGCTGTTATGCTTTTGGCCTGAGGGCGCAATCGCAAGCATAAAAATTCAAAAGTCCCTTTAAAACAAAAAATAAAAAATTTAATCAGAAACAAAGCTGCAGAGATTACTCAGCACATTTTGTTCCTGCTCTGACCTCCAGCTCTGACATTAGTGACCAGAAGCTCATCTGATGCAACACCAACAGAAGAACCAGGCAGGGGAACCAAAGCGGACGCTGATGATGGGTGGAGTCGTGCTGCTTCCTGCATGTGCACCAGATTAATGAGCTGAATATAATCCTGGGAAAATCCTGGAAACCATGGACAGAGAACTGACCATGACTCCAACAAACCTGGATCTTCACGAGACTAAAGTTTCACCTCTAGTTAGTCACAGATCAGGTTTTATTGACCTCTAAAGACGGAGGACAAACATGAAAGCTGTGGTTCAGAATCAGGCTTATCCCACCAAATACTGACTTCTGAATCTGTTTAAATCATAAATTACTGCTGCTTTGATTCAAAATTAGGTAACACGTTAGTTTAAGGAACACTAATTAACCATTAATTAGCTGCCAATTAATATGCATATTAATGGACTAGTAAGCACTTATTAACAGCTTATTACTAATGTCGTAATTCTAACATTAACAGGCCATAAATTAAGAGTTTTATCTAAATAAGCCATTCACAATGGTTTGTTAACTGAAAGTAAATGGTTAATTGCTGATTAATGCACATACTAAGTAGCTCAAATCAATATGTGGCTTTTAAAGAAGTAATTCAAGGGGAACATATCCTTGCCATTAAGTGGTTAATTAATACTAAACTACTAGTAATTTGTTATGAACAAAATCTGACTTTAGAATGGGGAACATATTCTTGCTTACAAGTGGTTAATTGATTGTTGTTTAGGCTCTATTAACATGTGGATTCTGTTGTTTATTTACATAATACCAGAACACAATATTTTTGGTTATTAATGCAGAATAACTATTCCCCTTGAATTACTTCTTTAAAAGCCACATATTGATTTGAGCTACTTAGTATGTGTGTTAATCAGCAACAAATGATTTACTTTCAGTTAACAAACCATTTTGAATGGCTTATTTTGATAAAACTCTTAATTTATGGCCTGTTAATGTTAGATTACAGCACTGGTAATAAGCACCTAATATCAGCTTAATAATGACTAGTTCAGAGTTAGTAGTCCAGTAATATGCATATTAATTGGCAGATAATTAATGGTTCATTTGTGTTCCCTAAAGTGTTACCCAAAATTAATATTGTCTTTGCATCAATGAAAAAAATACATTGGTTTTTCTATTTTTTGGTCTTTTATTTTCTGCAAAGAATATATTTTATTTGGAATAAATAAAAATAAAATGTTTACTATTTCAGCGTTTTCCTCCTTTTGTGTACAGCTACTTAAATAAAACATGTTCCTTTTGTCCAATATTGTATGTATTTTGTTATAATGATCATATGTTGTCTTATTTAACCATAAAATCAAAATAAAAGCAAATTGTACAGTAAAAATGGAAAACTACTCATATAACGAGTACAGGATCATTAAGCTAAAAAGTAAAATGATATTGATCTTGGAAGAGTAAAAAAAAACAATAAATACACAATTTATTTAGTTTGTCTTCGTATAGGAAAGTGTTTTAAAGAATGTAAATTATGGATGAAACTTCCATGCTTTCACTTTTTTTCCAATTATTTGCTAAATGTTACGGTTTATTTACTCTGAGTGGTCGGCTGCATCACAGTAAATGCACACAGAGATGGATTCAAGCAGATTGTTATTTCTAAAGTCTCCTCCCTGAAATCTGCTGTGGTCGTTCAGATCCCACTGAACACAATCCAGCCCCGCCTCCTCCCCTCACTGGGTTTAGTTTGCATTAGTCATATAAAGTCCTCACCTGAGCTCTGTGTGTGTGCGTGCGTGCGTGTGTGTGTTGTGCGCGCGTGCGTGTGTGTGTGTGTGTGTGTGTGTGTGTGTGTGTGTGTACTTACTGCTGGTTGAGGACAGAGGACTGTAATCAGACCTGCAGAGAGAGGGGATGTGGAATATAGGGGGGGACAGGAAGCGGAGAAAGGAGACAGAAGTTTATGTTACGGTTTATGAAGTGCACTCGACATGATCTATAGCACAACACACTCCTATTTCAACTGAAACGCTGACAGCTGGTTAAACAGAAGGAGACATCCAGCTGGAAAGGTCACGTTAGTCAGAGGCTTCTATCTGAAACTGGGACTCAAAGTTTATCTGATGCAATTTAGAGTAATGCACATTCCATCTAATGACAATAACAATAATTCTACATTTCTCTGCAACTTTAAATATAAGTAATAATTTAGCATGTTAGCCAATGTTTGTATGTAAGACAGTTTAAAAGACCTAAACGTGTCAAATCCCTTAATGCTCGGCCGTGTTTAAAGCAGCTCATACAAACATATTTGATTAACATTTTTACTGCTTGAATCAATCATTTTAATGTTTAAGAGGCAGATGTTTCCAGCTGTTCATATCAAGTTTATGTCTTCTCCTTGTTAGAAATTCCAAACATGCTTGATAAAAACGAAGCAGTATTTCTTATTTCAAATGCACAAATTAATGTGCAATAAGTATTAATGAAAATGTCTTTCCATGTAAGATTTAACTAATGTGGGGTAAAAAAATGCAGATTAAAGAAATTATTTTTAAATGTTTAAAGGTTTGGTACAATTACATTTTTTATTTTATTTAATGATGAACTGAAGAGAAAACACAACCTGACAAACTTTGCTAAAAGATTTATTTCTAATTCATTGAACTAGACTAAAAACAGGAAGTGAGGTGATTTATTTTAAAGTAAATATTGATCCAACATTCAGGTTATTGACTTGATTTATTAATCAGCTTTTCTACTTCTTCCCGGCTTTTATCCGACTGATACCTGCATCTGTGCTGCTCTCCACAGGTCAAACACTTGGATTCAGTTCCTCAGCAGTCAGATCGTTTGCTTCTGCCTGTTCAACTTTCACTTTGTGTTTATTGTTTCTGGACAGAGATGAAGTGAAGCAGAGCTTCCAGACTGGGAACGGCAGCGAGACGAGTCCGTCCTGCCAAATCCTCACCCCCAGAGGAACCATCAACACTACAACTTATAACTTCACTCCAAACATTCAGGAAACTAAAAAAAAAAAAAGAAAAGAAAATTTCCCTTCTTTTTTTCGTTTTCCTTGGAGCAACTGTGAACTGCTGTGTCTCCTACTCTCTCTCTCTCTCACACACACACACACACACACACACACACACACACACACACACACACACACACACACACACACACACACACGCACGCACACACACACACCTTGTTGGTCCTACCTCCTCCTCTCCTTTTAACCATATCCATCCATTATCTGCTCAGTCTCATTGGTTAGACTGATAACTTCCTGCTCCTTATTGCTTTAATGATATTAGAGACACAGCAGGAGGGGCAGTGTCGTGGTTGTTGGCTGATGGGACAAAAATCATCTCAGATTGTCATTCTGATGGATGACAATATATGTAAATTAGGTCACGGTGCTGGGGTAAAAATATATCAGAGAAATAAAATTTATCTCCATTCATCAATCAGATTGCTTTAACATCTGAGCTCATTTAGTAGCGTTTACATTACAAAATAGATGCTGAAAGATGCATTTTATATTTTATTATTATTTGACCTGATAAGAGACATAAATGAATGTAAAAATCCTGCTGATGGTTGTATTGATTGACTAATCAAAAGCATTAACACAAATGAGAACCGTTTAAAGAATCTCTGAACTGAAATAGGTGCTTTTATCACACTGTTGGTTCAGGAAAATCATTCATAATACTAATAATTTAACACAATTACTTTCCAATGTAAGAAAAATAATCCACTGTTCAAAGAGAACTGTTTGTTCATAAATTATCCACACTAGAAACAAAAAGTATGTTGTAAATCTGTAACACGAGTGTGTTATAATAACTATAAATGATTTGGTGTTTATTCTAAACATCTAAGATTAATTATGCAACATAATTAAATCACATTTTATTTCATCATTAAGCTCTGATCTCTACCACAGTACAACACAAACTGTCACATACCGCAAGAGAAACCAATGAACATCTTGGTTTAATGTCTGAAACGAAGTAAAGGAGAATTATTTAACTCTTTAATGTTAAAACAGGCTTTGATTTGAGGTTTTAGGTGATTTTTGCCATGTGAGAAGTTCACATCCACGTAGTTCTGCTCCACTCACCCTCCAGTCTCGGCTCCTGAGTCCACACAGTCATCTTCTTTTAGGGGTTTCTCCATCTCAGATGGTCTCAGAAGGCGCAGCTGGTGACCTCATTGTTAAAAAAAATCCCAAAGTAACTTAAAAACCGATGAAAACGAGCAGAAGAGCTCTGAGAACGAGCAGAGGACGTTCAGATCTAGCTGTGACTACAATCCAACCACTAGTTTAACTAACTGGAGCAACAGGCAGATTCCTGTTGGGACGCATTTAAAGACTGTCGATAATCTAAAAACTACTAGACTGGAAAAGGACAAGCAAATATGCAAAAAAATAATAGTTTTGTTTCCTCCATACCTCATTCCTACAACTACAGAAAAATATAGTAAAATAAAATGATTAGAACTAAAGTTATTTGTCACTTACTGAGAATAACGTGATAATGTTCACTGTTGCTTTTTACGTGCATGTGGCTTTTTACGAGCAGTACTTAAAGGCAACACGAGTGAATGTTGTGCTGTGGCTTCACCAGCAGGTCAACTGCGGTACTACCCTACCACATCTATATAACGTCGTTCAGAACTTTTTTCATTATCTGAAAAATGAAAACATTGCATCCATTTATTTTATGTAAATTAATGGAAAATATTTAACTGGAATTTGTATGAGATGTTAGGAAATAAAATAATATATTTATTGCAGGCAAACACTAATAACAATTCAATTCAAAATCAAAAATACTTTATTAATCCCAGAGGGAAATTGATTGCTGCAGTAGCTCAGAATAATAATAATAATCAAGTCATCAAAGAGTAATTGTATATTACAATGGCTGTTGGCAGGAAGGATCTCCAGTAGCGGTCAGTGTTGCAGCGAAACTGAAGAAGCCTCTGACTGAAGACACTCTTCCGTTGTCAGACAGTCTTGTGAAGAGAATGCTCAGGGTTGTCCATCATTTTCTTGATTCTCGGGAGAATCTTTCTTTGCATTATCTCCTCCAGCGGTTCAGAAACTGCCAACACTCTGGCTGAGTCCTTGAAAGGGCTTAGACTTCCTCCATCTTGTTGGCCAGTGATCTCACATTGCCCATTATGATCGATGGAAGAGATGGTTTGAATTTCCTCTTTCTCTGTCTCCGTTTTGCTCCCGCTCTGCATCCACGCTTCTTGCGTTTTAGGGCATTTGGGATTTGTGGCTTCAGTTGAGGTACTATTTCAGCCTTTCCCATGTTAATCAGCTTCTCCCGATTGTAAACCAGCTTGTTGCCATGGTTATGCATAATAACAAATGCTCAAAAAATGAAAAAAGCTAAAAAAAAAATTGCAGTAAAAATCCTCCAAGCTTCACAGCACCAGAAACAGAAAAGTAAAGTGTCCAAAAAAAATACAGTTTTTCTTGAGAAACTAGAAGAAAAAATGCCCAAGAAAAGGCAAAACTTACATATAGTCAACAGAGCTACTCCAACATGCAGCCACCCAGAGCAGCGCAGTTCCGAACATCATCACATCAGAGAATGCACGTTGTGTAGTTGTTTCCTCAAATTTCCAGCTACATAATTATTATTTTTCGATAGATGTTACTTTTCTTCAGTAAACAACCTGTAATAATTTCTAATGGTCATGTGGTGACTTTATTTCAAAGTCATGTAGGACTCTAGAAGGTGCTACATCATATACAGGCCTGTATTTGATACAGCACCTTCTAGTGTCCTACAACCCTCCAAGGCAATTTATTACAAACCTTCCATCACACACACATTCACGCCGTGGTGGTGATAAGCTACAATGTACCCACAGCTGCCCTGGGGCTCATTACCTGCTTTGTAAATGTCGGTAAATACTGTTTATCACCCACTGTCCACTCTCTTTTAATTTAAGTCTTTTGTTATAAAGGGTGTTAGTTTTGGAGCATATATTTGATCGTTTGTTCTTATCAGAAACCTGGTTGAGCACAGATGCATTCGTCGTTCTTACCAAAGACTCCCCACCTGGTTTAAGTTTTTCTCTTTACGCTCAAATGAGTGTCTATTAAACAGCTTCCATTTGAGCAGAACCCCACCTTTGAGCATTACATCTTCGTTTTTAGCAGCTCACTCTGCATCACTCACTGTCTATAGGCCACCCAGACATTATGTTGATTTTATCAGTTTGAAGTTTCTATCTTTTAAAATGAGATTAATGTGATGGGTGATGTTAATCTACACATTGACCGTCCATCAGATTTGCTATCTAAACAGTTTTTAAACATTCTTATTTATTTGGATTTTACTGAACCCTCCAAGCAGCCGACACACAACAGGGGACACACCCTTGGTCATGCCAACACCTACAGCCTGGCCTGTGGTGTAACCTCTGTTGTTGACTTGGCTGTCTGATCACTTTTGAGTGTTTTTTAAAGTTACTGATTTAATTCAGTCTCATAAGTCTCCTCAGGACTTTTCTTAGTATTGTTTTCTATGTAAATGTGGCTTTAAGGTGCTACATTAATGAAAGCCTGATGTCAGTAACAATCAGCAGGGCACTGCAGGGAGTCGAACCCCGTCTCATGACTGAGAGTACTGTTACTGGTGCCTTTTGCCTTTTGTTGGTGACGTGAAAGGTTAAACAAAACCTTCATCGCCAACATTTGTGTTATAGCTGCAAAGTAAATGTTTGTTTTACAGATTAACACAAGCGTGACTGATACAGGAAAAAGAACCTTTACAGTTTTTTATTAACACAAACGACAAGTCCTGATTTAGTTTTGGATCATTTTTAGCTAGAAACGTCACCACCATGCAGTCTCATTAGTTATTATTTATTTTTACCAAAAAACAAATGTATTAATCTATTTATTTTTCTATTTGTCAAATTGTTATCTGTTTGTTTGCTCTTTGTGTTTTTATTTTTATTTTTTAAGCTGTTTTACTTTGTCTTATTTACCCAGTAGGATTACTGCTGGTTCCTATCACCATGACTAACTCACACCTAGGGATAATTTAGAGTCACCAAATAACCAAACCTGCATGTTGTTGGTGTGTGTGGGGGGAGTGAACCCATGCATACATGATGGGGAGAACATGCTAGCTCCACGCAGAAAGGATGGTAAAGGGTAAATGGCCTGTATTTGTGTAGCGCCTTCTCAGGGTTCTACAACTCCCCAAGGCTCTTCACAACACAATCAGTCATTCTCTCATTCACACGCTGGTGGGGATGAGAAACGATGTAGCCACAGCTGCCCCGGGATGCACTGACAGAGGCAGGGCCTGCCGAACACATGCGCCACCGGCCCCTCAGACCACCACCAGCAGGCGAGGTGGGTCAAGTGTCTTGCCCAAGGACAATCCACACTATCTCCTTAGCTTTGGCTGTCCCAATGGATGCAAGCAGGATTAGAGCCTGCAACCTTTGAGCAAGGATTGTTCTGGTGTCACATCCCCCCAAATCCCTAAAATGCGTAGATAACTATGCTATCATCATCACAGTTCCTCTATTTATATATCTCTCTTCTCCTTTAATCCATCTCTGGGGAAGATGACCTCGATCTTAAAAAACCCTCTCACCCACTGCATTCCACTGTGGAGGCCGTGGACAGCTCCTTCAGAGGCAGACTGAGACCTAATAAGATAAGATTAGCTGTACTGACATTATACTGGTACACAATAGAGTCAATGCAAATGTGTTCAATACTTGTGTCATGTTGGATTTACATATGTCTGTGTCCCCTACAATATGCTGCATAATCGAACCCGCGTTATGCATTTTTATTTGTGGTTTTTAGTGGTCGAAGGTGAGAATACTAGCTCACTGCCTACGTGTATATACATGTAACTGTTAATTTTTTTCTTCAAATTATTCTCTTAAGTGTTGGTGATGGTGTAACAAGTGAATTTCCCCACTGTGGGATCAATAAAGTAAAGTCTATTCTATTTTCTTTTGACTTCTATTCTATACCCTCTGCATTTACCCAGGCTTGGGGCTGGCACAAATACACTGGCTTGTTCCCTGTTAGGGTTGTTTTAATCTTTTTTTAAATCAATCAATCAATCAATCAATCAATCAATCAATCAATCAATCATCTATCTATCTATCTATCTATCTATCTATCTATCTATCTATCTATCTATCTATCTATCTATCTATCTATCTATCTATCTATCTATCTATCTATCTATCATCTATCTATCTATCTATCTATCTATCTATCTATCTATCTATCTATCTATCTATCTATCTATCTATCTATCTATCTATCTATCTCTTTTCTTTGTTGTCTTTTATTTTATTTTAATATGTTTATTTGTATTATTTTAAATCTATTTTATTAATCTTATCTACCAGATAAGCCATAAACCAGTACTCAGTAATAATATTACTACTTTTGAAAATATTTTATGATGCTGTTATATTAAATAAGCAGCTCATGGTTGAAATGGCTACGTTTTCTGATCAAATCTCATCGTGGGATTTGTTGACTTTTCTTTATTTCAGCATCAAAAGGACGGCAATGAACATTGTGACATCATCATTGTGCGCCAGCGGGAAGCAGTGAAGGCTTTCATGCTCTCCTGTTGAGGTACTTGTCGTTAATTAGCTGCACCAAGTCGCTACAATCTATGATTTTGAGCGGACGGGTTGTCACAGGTTAGATATGTCTGTTACCGAGATGTTCAGCTACATCCAGGGCTTCTTAAGCGCAGACCAGGACGTCAGAGAGGTACGAGTGAACAGCTCCTATCCACGTTAGCCGCTACATTTAGCTAGCGGCTAACGTGAGCAGAGCTGCTTCTTTAAACCGTTTGGTTCTCATCAATGTTCTCTAAAAATGATCACAGAAAGCATCAGGCATTCCAACACTTGCTTGTATTTATTTAATTTCCAAGCATTTTCTATGGGTTAATAATTGGCGTGTTTTTCCTGTCTGGTTTCTAGATTGTTTTCTGATGATCATTTTAGAAAATATTCTCTAATTCAGCCACTGACGATGATGGATGATCTTTTCCCTTCAGGATATCCGTAAGGTGGTCCAAAACCTGGAGCAAACAGCCAGGGAAATCCTAACAGTCCTCCAGAGTGTCCACCAGCCCTCAGGCTTCAGGGAGAGTGAGTCGGACTCAGCGTTGCTGCTTTATGATGATCACGTTTTTTCTTCTTAAGCTGATTTGTTTCCTCTGTAGTTCCCAGTAAATGTGCAAAGGCGCGGGAGTTGTTCTGCACCGTCAGGACACACATTTCAGATCTCAAAACCAAATTTCCAATGGAGCAGTATTACAGGTAAGGGCCATCGTTCACAGGTGTAACATGTTTTAGTTTTTAAACGTTGGTGTGAAACCTTATATTCATCAACATTTATTTGACCATTGCTACTTTTCCAGGTTCCACGAACACTGGCGGTTTGTTTTGCAGCGTTTGGCCTTCTTGGCGGCTTTCGTCATCTACCTGGAAAGCGAAGCTCTCGTCACTCGTGAGGAGGTGGCAGAGATACTTGGGAGTAAGTGTCAAGTTATCGTTCAGCTGTGATTTTGAGGAAATCTACTTAACTCACATGTTTCTTTTATTCTGCTCTTTATCCTTACAGTTGAGGTGGTGCGTGAGAAGGGCTTCCACTTGGATGTGGAGGATTACCTGGCAGGTGTGCTGATCATGGCGAGTGAGCTGGTGAGTCTGCTGCTGGACAGTCACATCAAAGAGACAAGAGCTAGTTGCTGTTCTATTTGATTATTCTTCTATGATAAGAAAAAAATTACTGCAGAATGAGGGACTGCGTGTTGAACGTTTGTTTTTTGTTTCATTCCTGCTCCTTTAGTCGCGGTTGGCGGTAAACAGCGTCACAGCGGGAGACTACAGCCGGCCGCTCCGCATCTCCAACTTTATCAACGAGCTGGACTCGGGCTTCCGCCTGCTCAACCTGAAGAATGACCCGCTACGGAAGCGGTACGACGGTCTCAAGTACGACGTGAAGAAGATCGAGGAGGTGGTCTACGACTTGTCCATCCGTGGTCTGGCCAAGGAGCCCGAGTCTGGTGAGGACAAGTAGCTGGAGGAAAATCTGATTGGCTGTGGGGTGAGAAGGAGGGCGTGGCAGCCACCTCCAGCTTCAGCAGACTCTCTCACCTGGGAGCTGAGACCCGGTGATCTGCCTGAAAACCCAGCAGCCAAAGACTGTGTGTGTGTGTGTGTGTGTGTGTGTGTGTGTGTGTTTCAGATGGATGCTGGACTGTATGAGGGTTTTTTCACACCCAGTTTGTTCTCTTGCTCGATTTCAGCTGCATCTGGTGTTTTTCTTGCAGTGTTGTTGTTCTCAGACAAGCTTTCGTTGTTATTGAGTCGATTTGTCCAGTCTTGAAGACGGGGAGTGTTCTGTTCTGGGTTTTTCAGGAACACTTTTATTTTTTTTATCTTGCTTTGTTCTTTATTTAGCTAAAATTAGCAACGTTTTCAGTGTTGAGAAAATTTCATCCTTGGTGTTTGTTGGGAGTCTGTGGACTGAATTGTCCCAACTAGGATCCGAGAGCCTTGTTTATAGAGAATGTCTGACCCGGTCTGACCCAACAGGAGGAGGATGGCTGCATTTACAACTCAAAAGATGATGACCTCTAAGAAGACTTAAACGTCTGAATCTGATTGTTTTAAGTGAGGCTTGAGGAACAAACGAGCCAAAGAAACGACAGCGATGCATTTCACCTGATTAGAAAAGCTACTGTGATTATTTGTCATTTTGCCACCAGGAGCTGTTGCTTATTTTGCCAATGAGTATCTGTTGAGCCGTTGCACTGTTTTGGCTTGAGAGGTAGTCTTCATACGTACACAAAACAATGGCTGAATAGGTGTTTTCCCCCCAGTTAAAGGCATGAAGATGTTTTAATATCTGTGATGGAGCTGTTCTCCTTTTGTGCTTTTGTTTCCTGGAGTAAAATGCATTTGTACACCTGAGGTTCTACATTTGTTTGTTCAGTTTGACATGTAGCAGACATAAGACAGAAAACCTTTAAGGCTGTGTTTAAAATCTTTAATATAATTCACAATATATTACACTGGGTAGAAGAACACATCAGGTTTCAAGCCGAATGGAGAAAAAAAAAAGACCAAATTCAACTCTGCAGGTTTTGTTTTTGAAACCGTTTCAGGTGAACCTGTGAGCCGAGCTGCCCTGTGCCTCCTAAACACAGTGATGTACTTCCTGTTTTAATGCTACTTCATACCAGCAAACATAACAGCAATTGTCCTTTTGGTTTGACCGTTTCATTCTGCCAAAAGCTACAACAATAATGCTCTAGAGATGTGTTATCAGTGGTTGGACTGAAAAAAGGAATCATAAAGTGCTTCAAAGCAAAATAAAGCCTTCAGATGTTAAAAAAACAGTGGTAAAACCAAATCAGATCTGTCTAAATTAATTATATCGCCTATAAAGTGATTCCATTTCAGAGCAGACAGGGAGAATGTGTCGGACAGGTGCTACTGTGACAGATTTCTAATTAGTTTTTCTTTAACAGTAAAAGTTCAAAGGCACAAAGCTCATTGCTAGGTCATGTAACAGCTATTTATCGTAACAACGTGGTTTTGGACGCTTTCACTGAGGCTAATTTATCAAGTCGGCAACGTTTTTTAATCTTCCCAAAAATCTGCTCCCAACACATTTCTACCCAGTCAAAGTCAAGACTTTCAAAGTAAAGGGTAAGCGTCTGTTTAGCATGATTCTAATGTTTGATGAGTCAAACTGTTGGTTGCTCCGAAAAAAACATGGTTTAGATGATATACACTGAAATATTGCAATATTCTGATACTAAATTAATATTTGGAAGAAGCAAATCCATTTTTATTGAGATATTACCTACAAACGTTTGATGTATTTCCCTTAAGTGGTGCAAATCAAACTCCGACTGCTAGGTGGCAGCATTTTAACTGCCTTCATTCTGACTGAACAATGAGATATTTGGACGCGTCATGTAAGAGTCTGGCCTCAGCTCTTCTATTAAATTCAGTCTAAATATTGTCTGGCTTTCATTATTGGGATATATCGAATCATTCCCACTCCACCCCCACCCCGCCACATTGTGATGTTGTATTGCCAGATTCTTACTCTCCAGTAATGCCACATTCAGCAGCAGTGGCGTGTCCAGATCTTTTCAAATGGGGTGGCCCAAGTGAGGCACTACTTTGTGCATGGGTGGCACCAATGGTTATGCTTTTTTTTTTTTTTTTACCCCAAGTCTTTAGTGGACAATGAAAAGCCTATTTAAAGGGAATTCAATGCGGTGGCACCTGGGGTGGCCAATCAGATTCCAAGGGTGGCATTTGCTACCCCAGGCTACTCCCTGGACACGCCCCTGTTCAGCAGACCTGTTCAACTGCTTTTTACTACAAATGCATAATCAGCCAATCAGATGACAGCCACTTGGTGCATTTAGGCACAGTTTCTAAGGTTCAGTCTGAGCACCAGAATGGATAAGGCTGTTGGTACCAGACAGACGATGGTTCAAAACCTGCTACGGGGATTTTCTTTTTTTTTTTTTTTTTTTTACCAGCAACCAGCTTTAAGGGATGGCTACTTCCAGCAGGATCATGCACCAGGTCACAAAGCTTAGATCATCTCTAACTCCATCGGTCTCCACAGTCACCAGATCTCAGTCCAGAACCTTTGGGATGTGGTTGAACAGGAGAGTTTCATCATGCGTGATGCTGTCAAGTCAGTGTGGGCCGTTTCTAAGGCCTTGTTGAATCTATGACATAGTGAATTAAAGCAGTTCTGAAGGGAAAAGCGAGTCCAACACATTACTAGAAAGATGTACCAAATAAAGTGGCCAGTGATTGTGTATTTTCATTGTTTTTGATCCGAAAATGTTTAGTAAAGAAACTTGTTGGACTGTTTAGATTTGTGGGGCTGATCACAAGGCTGAAAAACGTTGCTCTTGACTCACAATTAGGCAGACTGATGCTAGCCAGTTGACAAAAAACCCCAAACTAAACATTTCAAACTTACTTTCATGGCACCAACACGATCTCGGTGATAATGACTGAAACAGAGCGGTGAACAAAAGCTTTAAATGATGTAAACAGACTTCAGACTCCAGTTAAATGATCAGGACCAACACCTGAACTCCAAAGGAAGTCAGAGAAACTTAAATGCATATAGAAATGCTACTAGTTTAAAAAGTGGCAGAGATTATTGCTGATCACTGAAATCCCATTGAAACACAGTGACACCGGAGGTCTGTTGGGCCTGGTGGACTGGCTCTGCTCAATGGTGAAAGGTGCTATGCTGCCAGCAGACAGCAGAGGGCAGCACACAGACTGGAAAGGGCTGTGACAACAAACATAAATCACTGAAGAACGATCTGGCCTCATTCAAGAAACTGTTTAAATTCTCACTGTCTTGTATAAAAAGTGACATTTGAATTTATCATTTTGCAGTCAATCATGTTCAGCCATGCTTTCCATCAGACACACCTTAAGCACTGAAGAGCAAACAGTCTCTACAATCAAGGCTGGTTAGCGCAGCCCAAGTTGTTTTTTTGGTCGTTCCTCTGTGTAACTGCGTAAAATAGGTCTGCATATACACTTTAATGGCGCACTTGCAGCTCTGTAAGAAAGAAAGTGCTTCACTTTCTCACAAGTCTGTGAGACGGATTGTGTTTTCTGGATTCTAGCCCATCAGAACGGTGGTTTCACAAAATCTTTTATGTTTTCAGCTGACGTCTGAAGTTGAAGCGTTGGGTCATTTACAGTGAAGCAAAACCGTGTGAAAGTTAGCCTCAGGAACGCGTCTGGTTTGTGTTGATCATGATGTTGGGCAGAGCATTACGCCTTTTCCTCCAGGTGCCCAAGTCTCGGGCGTATCTCTTAATCTGGTGGAACCACTGCTGGGTTCGAGATTTGTCCGATGCACGGAAAACAAAAGATTCTCGTCGAATATCGAGAACCTCGAAAGTGTCCTCACAGTCCGGCTCAGATGACACCACACAGTTACCCAGGTGGATAGGTTCCCTTAGCACCGCAAACTTCCCGCTGCTTTTGTCCTTGATTAGGACCAGAACTCCATCCCGGACACTCTCCCCAAAGCCCTCCCCTGGATCCCCTCTTGCACCACCATCTTGCCCGCTGGAGTCACCACCCCGCTGTGTCCTCACCATCAGCAGACTCTGTACGTTTTGGAACTTGAGGCCTTTGCTGCCCTTCTTCACCCACTGACCATCTGCCGGTTGGGACAGCTGGAGCGGCCCTTCCATGACGAATCGTGTGTTTTCTCTTGCCCAGCCCACCGTTTTCATAGACACCTCTCGCATCTCAATGTTTATGACCTCCCGATTCTTACGACTGTCCCGACGAAACGATCGCAGAGACCAGGTGACGCCATTGCCCTCCTGCTTGGTCTTCATATTGATGTGTTCCAGATGAGATTCCACTCGGCTCTTGGCCTCACGGAGATGTGCGTAGTCAGGGTGATATTCGGGCGTGACCTTAATGATGCGACTTAACAGGAGTGGGTACTTAGTCACACGCTGCAGGGGCGCCATGAGGAAGGAGCGCAAGTTCATACGCCGCAATGCAGTGTTGTCGTTTTGGGAAACATCCAGAAATATTCTGAAATTAGAAAGAAGATTCTCTCAACTGGTGCATGCTTGCAGAAAACGTCATTAACAAATATTAGAGAAGAGCTTGACTCATTGGTGAGCTGTGGTTCTGTCTGGAAATGTGAATAATTGCAGCTCAGCACCAAAAATAGACCTTCCACTGAATAAGTGATAACTCATTGTCTTTTCCATTAAGAATTACACAGAGCAGCCATGGCAGGAACAAGAGAATGCTCCCACAGCAGCTTCTACTTCATACAAGCCAACAGGAAGAGGAATCCCTGTATTTGGTGTTTACCTGAGCAGCTCCTTCTCTTTCTCCAGAGTGTTGAGCATGTTGACTGAGGTGGACTGCTGCAGGCAGTAGGTCTGGAAGGCTGGCAGCATGTTGACAAACGCCAGGAAAATTTCTCCGATATAAACGGTCAGCAGGTCATCATCGCCCTGGAGTTAAATCCCACGCAAAGAGAATGAAAATTTAATTGGCTGATTCAAATCTTGTTGAATCTTGAGGAGTCCTCAAAACTTATTTTCTAGAAAAGTGTCTAGGTCTAAACTGAAAATACTGTTACAGAAAAACAGGTCCATCCCTCTCTGCTGTGCTTCAGCTCTGCATCCGGAACTCCTGCAGAGGAGTCTGTGATGCACATGCAGGCCAACAGGTGACCCCTCTATGTTTTGTTGCAAATCCTATTAGAGCCACTAGGAGGAGCAAAATATGACAGGCTATTTTATTATTATTATTATTATGTACAGTTTTTTAAAGAGCAAGTCACCCCCTACCAGATTCTTACTCAACTCCCACTTCCTGTTTGAAAAATGCAACAAATGCTGTTGCCTAGCAGACTGAGAGGGCAGAGCCGCTAACAAATACACACACTCACGACATTGTGACATCATAATGTACCATCTAACATCATTGTGTACCTCTTAGCCAATAGCGATGGCAGATTTAAATTCAAATGCAGTGCAGTTTTTACCTGACGACAGTGCATCGCTGACAGTTTTAGGCAGAATATTTCAGTTTGAACTAAAATGAACTAAAATGCCGAATTATTTAATACATTTGTCTGCAACACGATCAGACACTCATTTATATAGTTTATCAGCAAAAAAAAAGTTCATTTGGAGTGACTTGCTCTTTAAGTTTCCATATTTTGGTTTGAGATTAAAAATTTAATCAAACATTAGCCTAAACATCAGCTAAAATAGAGTATTGAGCACTGATTTTAAAGGTTAAATAGGCCGTTTTGGCTTGCCTTTAGCACCCCCTAGTGTCCGTTTGTAGAACTAAACTCCTCTGTGTGTGTTGGTCAGCTAAAACATCTCCCCAGCCTTCCTCAGTGTCTACAGGAGTGATTCATCACTAAAGTAAACAAATCAGCTGTATTTGTGATCTAAAACATGCAGGGAACGTGCTGGAACCAGACTGCAGCGCCAGTTATTAATTTATACTTCTCCATCTGCGTCGGGAGGTCGGGACGGACGCACACAACACCATTATCCATGCTTTTGAGGGCTCTCCGACAGGCTCGCAAGGATGGAAGGAGTCTAGCTCTCTTTTCTAAACATCCATCCATCGAGACGGAGAACGCGAGCTTGTGATAGGTCAGGACACAGCTGTTGTCTACAGCGCAACCATTGCGTTCTCAAAAACATAAAGAGAGTTGAGGATATCTAACGGCAGACACGGAGAAGCTTATAGAATATCTCGTGGAGAAACTTTAAAAATATGATCGTTTTGGTCACCCGTGACTGGAGGAAATGACGGGAAACGTGGGTTTAGAGATGGCGAGCGCATGCAGAGGTGGAGGAGAATGAGGGACGAATGTATCCGCGTTAAAAATTCTCTTAAATACACACACACAAAAAAAAACACAATATAAACACACCATCTTGGACCGGATACATGATAGGTTACCACAGAACAGCGCTACGCCCTCTGTTGTCCTGGCGGGGAATTGCTTTGCAACACTCCCCAGGAGACGGAGAAAGGTGATGGCAAATTGTCTCCGTCCGTGTGTCTCTCCCTCCTGGAGCTGACGGAGATTTATAAATTAGGCTTAAGTCCCAACAGTCTAATGGTGTAAGTGGGCCATTCTGACCACAGGGGGCGATAGGGGCTGGGTGGTCTTTCATAAACCCTGTAAAGGGTCATTTTAGCGCAAAGTATCCCTTTAACCCTTTGATGCATAATGGTCACTACAGTGGACAGGTACTCAAAATGTTTTATTTATTTATTTATTTTTTGCTATTAAGCACAGCTGTTGAAGACTTTATTGCATTTGAGCCCCTCCATTTGGACTTCAGCAAGTCAAGCCAACATATTTCATGTTCAGAATGCACGCTGTCCACTGAGGTGGACATGTAGTAAATTATTTGTAAACTATTAAATGTCACAAAAAATATTTGTTGACATTTGTTTAATTCACATCAAAAGATGAATGAAAAAAACTGTTTAAAAAAATCATAGTTGAAGATTTCATAATTCATGCATCAAAGGGTTAACATCTTTTTTTTTGTGTAGAAAACTTAATCCAAACCCAATATGATGTCCTAATTATTAGACCAGTTATTTAAGACAACCCCAATAAATATTTGTCTTAAACAACCGCTCTAAATGACCGTTAAATAGGTAGTTATGGTTATAAGTGAACTTGACCTCATGAGATTCTTCATGACTTGCGACAAACAGCAAAGCAGCATCCACGGGAGGTTAACCGTGACTAATGAAGTGTTTGACGGCCTGCGTGTGACAGCATCGGGTTTTTGCAGAAAGTTCTGATAAAAAACAAACACCTCCAGATTAAAACCTCCATGTGAATTATGTATGAAAAACACACAGAACAGCTGATGGTTCAGGCACGTCATCACATGACATCCTTACATCATGCATTTAAACACGAGATGGACTTTAATAGTCAAACCTTATTTTACCATCTAGGTCAGGGGTCATCAGCAGACTCTGGCTAACAACGCTCTTAAACCTCACACCACAGTGAGCTGATGCATGGTACTTCTAGAGTATCAGACCGCCTACAGACTTGATCACATGATCTGAGTAGAGCTCTGATTGGCTGACACGTGAATTCCACCTTAACGATTCCTGTTTGTGCATGGTTAATGACTTTGTGGGCTTACTGGAACAAACTTGCAGGTTACATATAGTCCATGCATGATCCCTGATCTAGTAACTTAATTATTTTACCACTGTGATATTTTACCTGGAGCAGCTGAAGTTTGCCTTAATGTGAAAATAAGACATTTTGGAGTCATTAACATGCAGTAACACATTAAACAACTTAATAAATATGACCCTGAATGTGGGTTTTTTAATGATTAAAGGCTAAAGTAACAAAATCCCCGTTCAGAGACAGAAATAGAAGTCTGTGTGTGATTCTGGTCACCTGGTCAAACGCCTGATCGATGCTGTCCTGAAGGTGTTCAGTAAAGCGGTCGTTGACGTCTATCAGCTCCTGAACGTTACTAAACACCACAGCGAGCTGCTCTGCTGTCAGCAGACCTGCACTTTGCATGGGGCAGTAAAACTCCTCCTTAATGATCCTCAGGTTTTCTCCGTAACTTGACTCTGTGTTCAGAAACTCCAGGATGGCCTCCTTACGCTCGATGCGCAGCTTGGAGCAGCGCTCACACATTCGCTCCCCTCGTTCTTTAGAGGCCCCATCCCTCATCCCACAATCAGGACATGGTCTCTGGGCTTCCCAGGCTCTGAGGGAGGCAGACGGTCTCTTCCAGGTGCGGGACAATCCTGGGCCAATGCCGCTGTCCACTCGCTCCACTTCTGCTCCCCTGGATCTACGGTGACGGCGGGGCTCGCGGTCCTCCTCGTCCCTCTCATCGCTGAGGCCCACCACTCCGCTGTCAGAACTGAGGCTGCTGATGGTGCTCCAGCGATGCTGACCGGACCGAGTCACGCCCAGAACCGCTTGTCGGTCCTCACCAGGAGGCTCAGAGTGTCCACGGAGAGCTGCTGGGGCTGGAGAGAGGGAGGAGGTAGAAGCCAGCGATTATATTTGTGGATTTAACCTGAAGCGTTTTTGTTACCCATCTCTCTCTCTCACACACACACACACACACACGCACACGCACGCACGCACGCACGCACACACACACACAAACAAAACAGAACATAACATTTCCTAATAGACACCCGTTCAATTTGGCCAACTCATTACTGGTTGAGTAGGAGCAGCAAGTACAGATATCATCTTTCCTGTTAATTAGATCTTGAAGCCCCAGAGTGAGAACTTAACCTTTGTCCACATGCATGATGACTCAATACTACTGTGTGTGTGTGTGTGTGTGTGTGTGTGTGTGTGTGTGTGTGTGTGTGAAGCTGAATGGAAGTATACAAATAAACCCTAGCCCATAGATGTTTTGATACTGAGGACATGAATCCATGAAGGTGTGTGTTTGTCCCAGCAACAAGATCCTGTTTGGTTCTCCTTATCGACTGTTCTTCATCCTGTGTCTAAGTGTGTATTGACATGAAGGTGTATGGAAAGCTGTACAGGAAGGAAGAGGGGTTAAAAGGTCAAAATCTTCAAAGGAGTGAGCACTGCAATGCTTAAGAGCGATCACAATCTCGTATATAAGGCGTGTTTCCATTGTCAGTGCTTCAGGGTAAATTCTGGGATGGGGGAATTGAGCAGGAGATAGGATGTCCCAGTCCTCTCAGCTGTTGTGTCTCCATTCAGATTAAGCCCTTTCAGGACACTGCACAGACACGTGCATATCACGACCGCTTTGGCAGTGAGTGATGTCACTGATCAGCACCAAAAAGCGTCCACAGTGACAATAATATCAAAAGTTTTATTCTGTTGAAGAATATCATAATTAATCCATTCGGAGCACGACAGCAGCTGCATGATGTCAATTAACCAGAAGAAGCTCCGTTTTTAAATGGCGCTCTGTGAGACAACAAATCCCCGTGAATGAGTTGTTGTGGAGGAATTCCATCAAGTTTGTGGAAATGCTCCGGCAAACGGCCGTTCGGCCGGCCCGGGCAGGAGCAGTCGCATGTTGGAAGTTCCTGTAAAATTTACCCTGAAGTTCCGACAACTGAAACGTAGCTTTAGAGGGGGACATATTGTAAAAGGACAGCCTTGGTTGGAGGTTTCTTCGTAAGTGAGACAGATTCACCTTCCCTGGTGAACACACATGTCTGCTAGAGGAGCAGACGCCCGTGTTGTACCAGGGACAGAAAAAGATTAGGCTGTTTGGTTAGATAAGGGAAATCAATCTGGAAAAATCACTGACCCTTAACTGATGCAGCTGTGCTGCCCGAGTGTGTGAGTTCATCAGGACTCAAACAGGACAAACTACCATGGCAACACATCAAAAACACACATCTCCAGGATCTAAAAGTCCCTCTCTGGTTAGAGTCTTACGTTTCGCTTCACCCATGCGTCTGTGCTGACCTCAGCATAATGACTGGATTTAGCAGGAAAACGCTTCCTAATCCAGATGATGTCTTGGAGACTTTAATCCTGAATTAGAACTCGCAACAAAATTCTAACTTTAGAAATGAGAATAATTAAATATTTGAAGAATCTGACAAGACGTTTGTAGAAGAAGAACACAATGTGTTGCAGCCAAACCCCACGGAGCATGCTAAGGCTAACACCGTCTTATAAATAAATTTTGTGAATCGTTGAAAACGATTTCTAGACGTCTGAGCTGAAAAGCGACTCGTCTCCTTAGGCTGAGCTGAGAAGGAAATGTGTTTTAAAGGGTTTTTGTTAAACTCTCAGTCAGTTTTACAGATATTAAGATCATTTCTGGTGTGACAGTATGGACTCTTACTAACAGTGGAAAAGTGTAATTTTCAATATTTAATCAAAACGACGATGACTAAACATGAGGAGCACGCGTAAAACAAAAAGGACCATGACTATCGAGGTTGAGACAGTGCTTCACAGAAAGGAAAGCCTTTGAAACCACCTTAATGGTATTTTCCATTAATAAATTCATGTTTTATTTTGATTTAAACTGAAGTTTTTGCATTTAAAGAAGAGAGATTGAAACTGGGATGGGCTAAAGCTCCTTTACTCCATCCCATTTTAAGCATCCTGTATGATACACATAAACAAACAAACAAGGTGAAAACAACAAAATAAAATAGAAGAAAAAAACAGGATGACAGAAGGAGAAGGGGCGCAGCAGGCTAATAAGGGTGTGGTCTTGACCAGGGGTCACCAACCTGGTGACCCCAGGAACCATATAAGGTGCCCACAGGCCTTCCCAAATAGCACAAATCTAAAATAACATAAAAAAAACTTCTGCTGCAATATTTTACTATCACAAATACTTTATATAGATTTTACTACTACATTTACCATTAAAAACATTAAAGTAGCCCTTCCCAAAAACCAGTTTCCTTATCCGGGGATCGGACTGCCAAGGCTCCCGCCTCGGTCTGCCACCCGATCCACATTGCACCGGACCCTTCATGTTCCTCCTGCGGGTGGTGGGTCCACAGTTGGATGAGCCCATGTATCCGGTTCGGGCTGGGCCCGGCCGGGCCGGGCCCCATGGGCGAAAGCCCAGCCACCAGGCGCTCGCTCACGGGTCCCACCCCCAGGCCTGGCTCCGGGTTGGGACTCCGGTAACCCTCCGGGCCGGGTACTCCGACTCTTTGATTGTGCATCCATAAAAGATCCTCTGAAGTTGAGGCGGTTTGGGCACCTGGTCAGGATGCCTCCTGGACGCCTCCCTGGGGAGGTGTTTCGGGCATGTCCTGCCGGCAGGAGGCCCCCGGGTTGACCCAGGACACGTTGGAGAGGTTACATCTCCAATCTGGTCCGGGAACGCCTTGGGGTCCTGCTGGTGGAGGTGGCCGGGGAGAGGACGGTCTGGAGCTCCCTAGTTGGGATGCTGCCCCTGTGACCCGGACCCGGCTAAGCGGAGGAAGACGACGACGACGAAAGTAGCCCTTCACATGTCTCAATAATCGTGAAGTAGCTCTCCGCTTCACGAAGGTTGATGACCCCTGGTCTAAACGGTTCTACGGCAAAAATGTTGTAGAGGTTGTGCCGCTGAGCACAAAAACACAAAAATCTGTCCTTTTCCAAATGTCTCAATCAGGGATAAGACAAAGCCTAGAATTCCAGTAAAATGTGGTTTACCTTTAAACTCCTGATTGATGAGATAAATACTGCAACGTGCATGTAAAGAAAACAAGTCAAAGACCAAGAAGGGCATGCAGGGATTGTGTACTCACCACTGTCCCTGTCTCTGTCCCTGTCTCTGTCTCGACGATGGCTGTGGAGGCGTGCGGCAGCAGCGATCTTCATTTCCAGCTGTTTGCGCTTGGAGGCGTCTGCTGGCATGGGGTCGCTGTAGTGGGGCCGGAGGCGGCACTCGCGTTGGGCTCTTACAGCCTCAGCCGGCTCGTAGGCTGCATCTGAGCTGGAACGCCGGCAGCCCAGACCGGTGTGCTGCCATTCGGAAAGACACAAACGTCGGTCAAACGGCCACATCGCTATAGCAACAAGTGAAAGGCAGAAAAACTCTCTGAGGATGTGATGCGAGAAGGATCGTACGCGACAGAAACCACAGCGTGGAGTTCTCCTGTGCTGTGTCACTGTGATGACATCATTACATAACAGATCTGAGTTATTGATTGTAGGAGTGACGGGAATCCAAATTCCATCCTCAGACGCAGCTCTGATCGCCTGCCAACAGCACCGAGGCCGCACGTCTAAAAATCTGCTTCTATCACAAACTGGAATCAAACAACCTTGCAGATAAGAGCCAATTCAGAGCTCCTCCTGGGCTTTTCCGAAGGTGATGAGAGGAATTCCCTAAACAGAGATCAAACCCCAGGAGAGCTGACCTGGTGCATTAAGTTCAACACTTTAACTCATACAAAATGGATGCTACTGGCTTTCCATCACCAGTTACCTCCCTACACGTTGACACCAACCAGCAGCAGACGGTTTCATCACGTCACATCAGATAAACACAAGCCTGGCAGCGATCAGGAAAAATAAAGGAGAATAATTAATATTCCACTGAGCAACCAAGAGGCAGCCATTACTCTGGGGGTGCAGAGGCAGGAGGAATTACAAATTCAGAGCCCAAAATTCAAGAAGAAGCAAACGCACCTGAGCAATGTTCTCTAAACTACCTGAAAACAAGCAAAGATACAACTCCGTGGCTCTTCTGTTCCGCAGATGCAGAGAGGATGTTAGCAGCAGCTCAGGCTGCAGCCGGCCGGCGGCTATCAGCAGCACCCTGCTGCCGTGGGGGGCAGCTTCACCTCCTCTCCACTACATCCTCAGACATTGAGCTGTTGCTGGAAGTCAGAGCTCTACATCTTTGTTCCTGCCTCAGCAAAAAAATGTGTGTGAGTGATGCGCATGCATGCATGCGTGTGTGTGTGTCGCAGTCCCCTTGCTCGTCCCAGTCAACCTCAGATGGATGTCTGCATTGCCGTGTGCTGCAGAACGGCGACGATGAGCGCAGATGGGAGAGACACGCTGAACGCATGAAAAAGAAAGCAGAAAAAGAATCCTTACGCATTCTCCTGCCTCCCCTCTTCCTCCTCCTTCTCCTCCTTCAGGCGCCTCGTCGCCAGCCTCGGATCTGCAGGCCGTTGCCGGCGTTGCCATGGCAACGGCGGAAGGCTGAAAGTCTGCCGAGGAGGCGGTGATGTCACAGCCTCCGTCCCGGTCACCTGACAGCCTGATGGGGGCCTCGGCGGAGATCTCTGCACTGCAGCTGGAGAGAAGGAGAAGACGGAGGTAAAGAGGGGTTTGATGGAAGTGTGGGATAGAGGTAGGGAATGAAGTCATGAAGAGGGAGAGAACGGGAGGAAGGATTAGAGGAAGTTGTCTGCCCCTTTTAACTAAAATAACATTAATACAAATGAAATAATCATATGATTCTTAAATAAATTGAACTTGTTGGCCGACACAACCTCAACCCATGAATTTGAAAAAAAGAGAAAACAATTTACACAGACAGAAGCATTAAGTTATAGATCTATATACATACATATATACACATGATGAATACACACTAGTTTTTTTTCTTTCATCCCCCCAACCCCCCTTCCCTCTCACATTTAGGTAATGGATCTATATAGGTTAATCATTTCATTTTTTAATCTCCTTTTTGAAAGTCAATATTGTTTTTGCATTCTTGATTTCAGTATTTAATTAATTCCACATTCTAACTCCATATATGGACACACAATGTTCCTTTACGAGTATCCGACGTCTAGGTATGTTAAATAATTCATGTCCCTTTAAATCATATTTGCTTTGTCTTTTTGTAAATCTTTTGATTTATCCTGCAGATACGTTCCTTTTGTTTGCATTATACATACATTTAAAAATATTGTAGTCCACCAGATCATAGAATTTCAATGTTTTAATTTTATAAATAATGGATTGGACGGATCTCTGTAGTTGCTCCTTGTGATTATTCTTATTGCTTTTTTCTGTAAGATGTAAATGGAATTTGTGTAAGTTTTATATGTTGTTCCCCAGATTTCAATGCAGTAGTTCAGGTACGGTATGATCAGTGAGTTATATAACAAATATGGGGAATTATTATCAAGCAACCCTTTTGCTCTATGTAACAGTGCAATAGTTTTAGATATTTTAGTTTTGACACTGTTCATATGTAGTTTCCAAGACATTTTTTCATCAGTGATGACTCCCAGATACTTGACTTCTTTAACTCTTTAATATTAATCTCATCTGTATTTAATAAAATTTCAACATTTAACTCTTTTAATATTAATCTAATCTATATTTAATAAAATTTCATCATTTGAATATGTATTACTAAATATCATAAAACATGATTTATCACTGTTTAATGATAGTTTGTTCCCATCAAACCATAGTTTAATTTTTTTCATCTCTGTTTGTATCACTTCTATCATCTGCTCAACATTATCTCCTGAATAGTAAAAAGTTGTATCATCTGCAAATAAGATGCATTTTAATATATTGGATACCTCAACAATGTCATTTATATAAATGATAAATACATTAGGGCCCAATACGGACCTTTGCGGTACACCACAAGTAATGTTATTTATATGTGATTTTGTGTTGTTTATTTGAACATATTGCTGCCTATCAGTTAGATAACTTATTATCCATTTTAGGGCCATCCCTGTGATGCCATATTTACTAAGTTTTTAATAAGCATTTTATGATCCACTGTATCGAATGCTTTTTTTAAATCAATAAAGATACTTATGAGATGAGTTTTTTTGTCAATGGCTTCCGATATTTCTTCTGTTAATTCCATTAATGCCATGGATGTTGAATGATTTGTTCTAAAACCATACTGACTGTCATTTAATATCTCTTCTTTGATCAGGAATCGGTCCAACCTAGAAATATAATTTTTCTAGTATTTTTGAGAATTGTGACAATAAAGATATTGGTCTATAGTTGGAAAAGATATGTTTGTCTCCACTTTTATGAAGTGGTATTACTTTTGCAATTTTCATCCTGTTAGGAAATGTCCCTGTTGCAAAAGATAAATTACATATGTAAGTCAATGGATGAATAATACTTTCTATTATATTTTTTATTAACGTTATGTCTAAACCATCACAGTCAGTACTTCTTTTATTGATGCATTTATTGATAATATTTCTTATTTCATCACTAGTTACTGGACTTAAATATATATTGTTTTTATTGCTTTTGATATTCTCACCTGTACTATAATTAGTTCATTTTGGAATGTTTTTTGCCAAGTCAGGTCCCACATTAGTAAAAAATTTGTTAAATTCATTTACTATTTTACTGGTTTCACTAATTTCAGACTGTCCGTTTACAAAATAATTTGGAACAGTTGAAGCTATTTTATTTCTTTTTATGACATTATTTATTATTCCCCAAGTTGCTCTAATATTATTTTTGTTTTCTTCTAATAAATTGCTACAATATTCCTTAAAATTAAAAGAAGAGTTCCAGAGGAGGATGGAAATTAGACTTATAACAGAGCTTCCTTTCCTCAGCATCATGCCCCCCCCCCCCCCCCACCACAACCACCACCACCACACACACACACTTACATGTCCCTCTACTTCCTGCTGAGTCGTCTCTCCCAAACGCCCACCCTCCCCCTTTCTACAATTTTCCCTGAAACCCTCATACACTTAAATCAATGTCATTTGCTGTCTCTCACACTTCCTCTCTTCCTCAGTGTGTGTGTGTGTGTGTGTGTGTGTGTGTGTGTGTGTGTGTGTGTGTGTGTGTGTGTGTGTGTGTGTGTGTGTGTGTAACTAAACACATCAGTGCACATTTAACACCTGAACCCCATGACCACCGGTATCATTTAGGCATGCAGGAACAGACCTTCACTTCACTTTTTGAGTAACTGGACACACACACACACACACACACACACACGCACGCACACGCATACTCACACTCACGCGCACGCACGCACGCACGCACGCACACACACACATACACACACACACACAAATGTATATGTTGAAAACTCTTCAATCTGAACAAACAGGAGGAAGCTGAAGCTGTTGGGACTGCCCTCTGAAAACAGAAGCGTTGACCATGAACTGTGTCATGTCTGCATCACGTAACACTCATGCACCTTTGCTGTTGGGACGTATTACCATCCTAAAGAAAAAGCCTAATAGACTCTGAAAGCTGCTGGTTTTTTTGTAAACTCCTCGATAAAAGAGCTTTAGCATTTAATTAAGCTCTTCAAAAGCTCCAGTAACCAAATATTGATCTGTGGAGCTGTAAAAATAATGCACACGTCTTTAAATTCAGCTTGAAACATTATGAACACAAACTGCCCACTCATGTATTGATCCAAAAATTTCAAACTCTCATGATCTTAGCAGTTCAGAAGCAACGTGAATAAAGTAGATACGATGGTGTGTGAGTGTGTGTGTGTGTGTGTGTGTGTTCTACAGAAGCCTGTCATTTCTTTATATCAGGTGTGTTACCTAGAACAGGACAGAGGACCTGAGGGACCGGAGTTTGACACCTGGGCTGTTTTAGACCTAAAAGCAACAATAATGGAGGAGATGGGACCAGTTTTAGTTACAAGATGAGAGATTACAGAAGATTAAAGATTGTTTACTAAAATGTTTATTTCATAAAGTGGCCATTTCCCTAATAAAAATGCCAAAAGTATAAAACTGTTATGAATAAATGTTGGAATGTAATTTATAGTTTCATGTTTTAACTTTTCTGGTAGTAGTAGATTTTATGATGCAGAGATAAAGTCAAACATTATACTAAAACCTTTCCAAATGCCTGTTGTGTTTAAAAAAAATAACGACTCATCTGAAATGCTTAATTTGTTAGCTCTAGATAAAATGAACAGATTTGGCTCACTATTTAGCATGTTTGTCCCACTGTTACTTAAAGGGGACATATTATTTATTTATTTTAATTTTAAATACCTCCATAGTTGATGCCAAATGTGCTCATGAAGTTCTTTGCATTGAAGTTTCTTTTCAACAGTTTTATTCTTGACATTTTCAGTACCTTCCAGAATGAGCCATTTCAGGGCTCTGTCACTTTAAGAGAACAAGCTGAAGCAGGCCACGCCCCCTTCCTCAGGCTGCTCTAAGCTGAGAAGCTCAGATATCTGTGAGGAGTACAACCACAGCTCCCTTTGGTACGTGAGAGGTAGCTCTGTTCTACTTCCTCGTTTGTGACTCGTTTTAGGAACATCGTTACAAAAAGCAAACACTGACAGAAGACAGAGACGGGCTTTTTCACCTTTGGAGTGTTTATAAAAGTACACTCAGAAGGAAGTATAAAATAATAATATATCCTTTAAAACGTATAATAATCCCTTATTACTGATTTATAAAGTACTACAGAATAATTAATATCACAACTATAAACTATTTATTAGCCATTAATGAGGGGAGCTTAAAGGGGCATTATGGAAGTTTGACAGCCAAAACATGTATAGAAATAATAAATGTCTTCTTCATACATTCTCCTGCAATGACCTGGTCCTGTAAAATGAGCCCTGGCACTTTTACTGTGATTGTCCGTTTTTCTGTAAAATCACAGAAAAAGAGAGCTGCCCGGGTCGAGCAGGCTGCTTCATGCGCGTTCACGCTCAGGCATAGCCCGTAGCATTTGCTATCAGTAGCTTTAGCAGCAGAGAGAGAGGAAGTGCCAACTCAGTGACTTTGTCGCTGTTCCTAACGCCTAGTGACGAACCTAGCTACATTTCTGAGGACCCTTAGCTACTTTCTTCTAGATATTTCCTGCAAATTAGCAACAAAATAGCCATTTTAGCTCCGAACCGTTCTTTAAACGTTGTTTCAGCTGTCATCAAGAATATAAACATTACAGATACAAAAGTTGTTACCGGCACTTTAGCACACTTAGTAAGACGTCGGACTCTCGTGGTGAAGACCCGGGTTTGACTCTGGATGTGAACATAGTTTATTTAGAGTTTCTTACATTAATTGTATTTATTTTTACAGTAAGATGCCCAAATTTTTATTTGAGACTCGCGAACGGCATTGCATTCACAGATAAAAAAGATGTGGGTTCATCTTTCATTTTGGAACAATTTTTCAAGCAAGGGAAGGGAATGATCTGAGCATGCAGGAGGACTGACCCATCATAAACCTTTGTCGGCTGTGCTGAAGAGAAAGGTACAGAACCAAATTATTTAATTAATTAGCTGCGTGTTCTCCTGTCCTCTGGGCCACACACACACACACACACACACACACACACACA